AGATGTAATAGGAAGTTAGTGGAAAGCTCCCAAAGTGAGGGGAATTTCTGTCTTAGACAGTTGACCCTGGAACAAGTGTCCCCATGGGAAGATTTTCCCTCACTTTGTCCTAGGACAAATCAAGAACTTTGGATTTCTCCTCACATTCTTTCTTAGTGACAATGGTAACCAGTAGAGGGGTGAATCTCCCCAGTGGGGACAAGAATAGCCAATGGGAAGTGACATGGACACCTGAAGAAGGACACCCCCTCTCCCTGCACTGCAAGCAACATGCTGAATGGAGAAGAGAGCAGAGTGACAATGTCACTTCAGTCTGCTACTTCTTTCACTGTCCAGTCACAAGGTAGGGAGGAAACCTATGTGTTTATCTGAATAGCAGCAAAGAAACATCAGGCCTCACTGTCAGACAGGGCTGTGCTGTGTGGCAGAGTGAAGTAGAGATTAGCAAATCAATTTGCCAAGATTAAGGCTCAGTTCACATCTATGTAATGCAGGAGCCTGCGCTTTGCTGTTGCCATTGCATGTGTGTTGTATGGCATCACACCACGTTGTAACCTATTGCCATGTGATGTGATGCAATAAAAAAAAAAGCACTTGCACTTCCTTCAGTGCTATTTAGCTGTGGTAGGCAACACATTCAAATGAATATGCTGCCTACCACAACGCACCCTGCAGCACCTCTGCAATGTTACATTGCACATTTGTAAATGAGGGCTAAGAGTCAACTCAGTGAGATGATTCACTAAGGGGAACATATGTGATAGCCAGGGCCTTCCCTATAATGAGACACCATATAATATGACCCATATTGCCTCAGGTGGTATCTCTATTGGTCACGTCAGGGGGGCAGAAGGCGGAGCGGAATGGCCTTTCTGCTGCACAATGTTTGCAGTGTGCCTGGCATCCCCTTTCCAGCCAAAGCATCCCAGGTTGCTAAGTACCTGGCAAGGAGATCTGTAAGGGCCATACACATTTCTCCCCCCAGTCCCTGCTGAGCTCCTGATGTCACTGGTTGGCAGGAGCTTGGCGGGATGCTGGCCAGAATGTTCCAGATGGATATGGGGTGGCTAAGCGGTGGGTGGCATAGATGCCGAGCCCTTACACATCTCCCTGCCAGGCACCTGGGGGCATCACTCTCCACCGGCACCGCCCGGGTCAAAAAGTACGGGTCAAAACCGGACGGGTGGCTAGGTAGGGACCGGCGTCGGCAGTGGATGAGGAGGCGGGACCCAAAGACGGAGGAGGAGGCGGGGCCCGCCAGCGACCGTGGAGGAGACGAGGCCCGGCAGTGGAGGAGGCTGACAGCGGATCGGGGCTGACAGGTAAGAGGTATGCAGGGGTGTCACCATAGAGGGTCTATGGTGGGCTCTGCCGGGTCACTCTCAGGTGGGCTGTTTGGAATCTTAGATGGGCTCTGCAAGGGGCGTAACTAGAAATCACAGGGCCCCATACAACATTTTTCTATGTGGCCCTATGGTTTCTAGTTACACCCCTGTAGGCTGGGTACATCCCACTGCTGACTACAGAATTCACAAAAATACAAAAAGGAATTTAGCAAAAATACTACATCCCTATATTGGCAGGATCTGTTCCACACACATTTAAGGCCTGTGTCCACAGATTTTAGACTTAAGCAAATGCAGTGTGCTTCTGACATCAGTTTGAGATGCTCCTGAGACAATACAGAATTCACTGACACATGCAATTGACCTTCTTCTGACCTGCAGTTGACCTGCTTCAAGCTGCTTTTACATTCCCATAGACTTGTATCAGGATAGAATAATTTCTAAGGCGAACCCATTGACACAAGGCATTCCTCTGAACAATAAAATACAACATTTATTAGGCCTCATTCACACTGCTGCACGTATGCGCGCGTACGTGCGTATTGTACCATATGCAACCTATGCAAATAAATGGCTCCATACACACAGCCACGTATAGAGCCGTATATTTGCATAGCGTATATATGCGCAAAAACAGAATGGAACAGAGATGCGTCCGGGCAGCGTATTTACGCGCATATATGCGTGTCTACGCGTACAGCACATTAAATATTCCATTACAAGTGATGCATTCTGGGATTGCATATAGTGCACGCATATACGCGTATACGCACGTATATATACGCGCGTACACGCACGTATATACGCGCATAGACGCAATATACAATTTTGCTTGCGTTGTGTGTGAATGAGGCCTTAGAAACACAAGACCTTTATTTACGTGTATTACTATGAACTTATAAAAGAGCCGCAGTTCCAAACAAACAAAGTGGCAGCAGGCTGATTCTTCCTAGCCAAGGTGCTGACATTGTCAGCTGGATGATGAGTTGTCGTTCTCAGTGGCAGCATGATGAGATATTTGACATTGTGACTTTGAGCTAACTCAGCCAGGGTATCACTTGGTTACTCTGATTCCTTCAATGTGTTCTTACTCTACATGTAAGTCTTACATCATCTCTAGCTCAGTGGAGTTGGGAGCATGAAGAAGAGTGATGCATAAATTGGTCAATGGACAAGATGTCATTAGAATCTGTAAAAGGAACCTGTCGTCGTTTCAGACTATTCTGGTTTAGAATGTGATGAAGTCCAATAGGTTGCTTTTGACCTACTTGTAATATTTATGTGACGTTTTTGTGTAGTTTGCACTTTCAAAAATGTTATCTTGTTTCACAATTTTTGTGAATGCAGCAGATCTAGTAAATTAGAAATGACAACTAGTGTTGTGTGTTTTTTAGCCTGCCCATAGAAGGCATCTCATCTCTCATGGAATGTGTGAGATCTGTCTGCTTTTACTTTAATTCCTACACCACTAGACTCCACTGTAATAACCCAGATTGGATGGATGAGGTCAGTCAGACTGAACATAAAAATTTAGACTGGGCGTGGGCGTGTATAAGGGATATACTCTGTTCTGTCCCTGCTGCATGTTACCCTGTGGACTGTTTATAGCTCGATATGCAGCTTAACCCTCCTATTCTGCAATGAGCCAGACTGAGTGAAATCTTGATGCTTTATTAACGAAACAGGGTGGGGTGAAGCTGGTGAAAGAACATGGAAACATGCAATGAGTATACGAAACATGTAAATATAGTGTCAGCTCACAAATACAGAGCAAAACAAGTCCATCCATACAAGCGATGCTGCCTTAGAGGGATGTAGGTTTTTTTCCTCCAAACCTGTGCTGCAGATGGTACTGGATTCTCTTCCTCAGTCTGTAAAATGGAGGCTGAACTCACAAAATTCTTTTGTTTCCTTCTCTTTGGACAGAGGAATGCTGTGAGTTTTACCAAAGAATGTCTATTCTACTGTGACTAGAGATGTTTCTCCTCAGCTCCATCTTGTAGCTTATTTGATATGGCAGGTAGGTAAGCCTATTTGTTTCTAGACACCGGCGACAGAACATACTCCATTTCCATTTGGCCACCAATAGTGATTACATACAGTAGGTCCTTTCTTCCACCATGGATGTAAGACAAATGAGAAAAAACATGGATGTCACATAAGACTGGTTGCCTGGTTTACATTATTGTTGTCTAAAGCTGGCCATACACTGATCAAATTTCGCCCTTTTCCTGCTGAGTCGGCCAAAATTATATCCATAGGTGACCCTGCTCAATAAAGGATACATTTCCAATTGAATTTTGTCTAAGGAGCAAGAGGGAAAATTGTTGGCTGAACAATGACTGCAGCCAATCAATACAATAGCTGTCAGGGAAGAATCTTGTGATTTTCTGCCTTCATTCTGAATGGTGTATTGCAAGCTTAATTATCTAGCCAATAATATTTCTGGAGAGACAACGCGATTTAACAGCCTTTGAACGTGGGATGATTGTTGGCGCTCGGAGCAATGGAGCGAGTATCAGCAAAACAGCAGAATTCGTTAAATGTTTTTATATATGTATATATATACAGTATATTTCTATATAAATGTTTGATTATTTTGTACTATTTATAGAGCTTTTTTTCCAACAGATGTAGGTGATAAAGCTTCTTTTTTAAATGTTTTTCTGCAGAAAATTGGGGATCTTTATGTTTTTAAATGGTTTTATGTGAGTAGCTAATAAAGATTAATTGATGTTTTTGTACAAGTACAGCATGGTTTCCTATTATTACGTAAATCGATGTTGAGAGTTGTAATCAGTTGTAGTCACTGATAGAGGTCTAATTTGAGGAATGTGTGTTTATACCCAGTGACTCCGGCTTGTAACAGAAATGACAAGCATTTCAAAGGTTAAAGTAAAAATATAATTTATATTTTTTGAATTTCACTTTGAGCAAAGGTCATTTGGGTTCATGAAGCAACCATATCCCGTTGTGTTTTGCAATGGAATTTACTCAATTTCCATGTAAGGTGTTTAAAATGAGTTTATTGACCCAAGTGACATCTTGTCATTACTTACTGGTATGTTTTTTTATTAACACACTAGAATCAGAATATTAACCAATGTTTTCCATTTACGTCACTTTATACATAATTACAGCCAAGAAACCAGTCACAGTTAACGCTAAAAAGGTATACCCATAGTTTTTTTTTTTTTGTAATGCCGTCCAGTGGTTTTTATTTGGAAAAACGGTGTACATTTCACATACATAGTTGTCACCAAGTGTTTACAGAGAAGTGCATTGTGAAAGTTTATCTGCAGTCTGTAGGAATAAAACTTGCTTTCATAATTTTAAGTTAAAGGCCACTTAAAAGTGTTAAAATATAGTTGAAAACAGGATTTATTTATATCTGATCTTGTGCTCTCTATAAACACTCCTACGCTCTAAAGGAAGTGTATTTTGAAACCTGTTGTTTGGCCACTTCCTTAAAGATTCTACAGCCAAAAGTCAGATGTTATTTCAGCCCCGGTCTGTGCAATGAGGCATACCCAGCCAGGGTGTTGACTATGAAGACAGGGGAATGATTTTCACGCTGTGTTAATGGCATTCAAATCGTTTTAGAGTCCTATTTCATTTCTTTGGACCAACCACGTTTTTGCTTTCCTTGTGCAGCGGTCCGAACGGTCAGCATGATGACCAGTGACCAAAGCTTGTCAGCTCGGCACCTTCACAATTCCTTGGAGAAGCCGGTGAAAAGCGGCTGGTTGAAGAAGCAACAGAAGAGCATAGTTAAGAACTGGCACAACAGATATTTTGTCCTAAAGGGGCAGCATCTCTGGTACTACAAAGATGAGGATGACCAGAAACCGCAGGTAAGACCCAATATCCAAAGTATTCCTACCCACCTCACTCAACTGCACGCATCAGGGTTGTGATGATTTAAAGTATATCTAAAGCTAATTTTTTTTCAATTTTGGACCAAGTAGTGAATAGCTAAAATCCATGACAAGTTGTTTGCTGTCTGTGGCCAATTGGGGAGATTTTCCATTATTTGCTGTCTCAAGACAAAACAGGATATGAGAGGAGGTCTCTCCAAATTAAGGGCAATCCTTAATTTGCTACAGTTGTCACCTAGACAAGTGTTGGAAGATTTCTGACCCAGTGACAACCAACATTTCTAGATTTCACTTCACTGAACTTTCACTGATAATGGTCCCCATAAAAAATATAGAGAATTAATCTCCCCAGTCTGAACAAACAGAAAACTAAAAAACTGAGAATATTGATAATTCTTACCTAATATATCCCCCAATATTGGCTACAGATACACTTTACTATTTGCATTCCTAATACATAGCAGCATTTTCTTTGCTGTTTTATCTTATTCTTCAGTAAGGATGGCCTATAGATGCTCTGTAGTGCTGCCTCACCTATGAGATTTATATTGCTCTTTGAGGAAGAATGGCTATGCACCTATTATGAAGATGCTTGTTATCATTAAAGTCTTAAAGTGACTCTAAACTCAGGAGTTAAACCTTAAAAATACATTCTAGTACCTCAATTATTAACAAAAATGTATCTTATTTGTGTATCACTTGGCTGTAGATCTTCAAATCATCTCTGAATTGGTGCTGACACTGTCCTTCCTTCTGGAGGGTGACTACTTTTGTTCCCCCTGGTCCCTATGTGTGTTGTAAAGTAGCCACCACTCCAAGCTCACTCCTGTGATGGGCTACAATCTCAGTACTAACTAGTGAACTAAACTAAACATGGGATTCTAGTCCATCACGGGAGCGAGCTTGGAGAGGTGGCTACTTTACAACACACATAGGGACCAGGGGGAACAAAAGTAGTCACCCTCCAGAAGGAAGGACAGTGTCAGCACCAATTCAGAGATGATTTGAGGTTCTACAGCTGAGTGATACACAAATAAGATACATTTTTGCTAATAATTAAGGTACTTGAATGTATTTTTAAGATTTAACTCCTGAGTTTAGTGTCATTTTAAAATACTGCTATGTAGTCACAGTCTTGAAGGGTTTCCCTGGCGATTTTTTAAAACTCTGTTAACATATTAGATTTCACCTCATCTGATTCTGGGCTTTGTAACAATTAGAAACCAACATGGCCCACAACATGTGTCAGAAGAACACGCCATCAACTGCACTGTGCTGCAGTTGTTCAAGCCTATTACACTTTTATATAATCCATGAAACATATTATATACACATTGCAGTCTGTAGTAAAGTCCACAAAGAGATGGAGGAGAATATGGAAATGTTATTTTGCAGAGAAGCACAATTGGAATATAATTTATTCAAAAGAACCCTAAAGCCAGTTGTTGTTAACATTTTTGGAAAGAAAAATTGTGTCCATCATGATGGGTCCTCGATCACTTCTTGTCATTTACAGTAATAATTTTGTGGACAAATAAACTCATGACTAGATAATTCCATTATTTTTCTTCCTCACAAAATAAAAACAAACAGAAACAAAATAGTGAAAGTAGAAGCAGCATATACAAGATTCCATCATAGTTTTTACCAAACCAGTTATGGAAAACAGTTGTGTGATGGTCAGGAGGCCAGGAGATGTTGTGTCCTGAGCACACATTACGATGGTCACAATGACACAAGGTGACTGTATATGGTGGCTGAAGACCATCTTTACAATCCCCAATTCTACAACCTTTCGTATCCACAAATTTTAGAGAAAACATAATTCATATTATTATTTTTAGTTGTCAGAAGGGTGAGAACTTTTGTCAGGCTTTTAATTTCTGTCCTGGTTGCGGAAATGCACTATGTTGCCTGTTAATCTTAAGGTGTTGTCTGGGCAGAAGATGGACATCCAAAGAATTATTATTATTTGTTACACAGGATTTATACTGTATAGTGCCAACAGTTTGCACAGTGCTTTATTTTACATAAGTGAAGAGGAGGGAACAACGGCAACGAAACCGGAGCATGTGTTTTTTTTAACCATTCCAGTGATCCTGTTGCTGGTGTGTCTTTAGTAAAAGCTGGGTCACATCAAGTGTGAAGATGTACTTCCAACACATGTCCTATTGGCCACGCACAATCCCGGATATTCACATTCATGAATGGAAACACATACATGTCCACAGTTATGTGCAGTTTAAACTGCTACTAACATTAGCAACAGAGATATAACATGGTGAGGAAATGCACTGCAAATTAGCGTGTAGCTCTATCTCCCTTAGCCATCATTGGGTTTATTAGCAACATGTTAAAAAGAAGTAAATTAATTATTTCACCGATGTGTCTATAAACAGGCCTAGAGAAATCAGACGAGCATAGGCAATGAAGAAGTGCAAGAAAAGCAAATAGGGCATGCAAAGTTTATATCAACTTATAATAACCAATTATATTTCAGTTTTGGAAATTTAATATAGAAATACAGATTTTTTACTCAAGTGAGATCACTTAAAAAAATAATTCTGGTTGTAACTGATCTGCACCTCCTTGAAATGAGAAGGACACCTCCCTGAAATTACTTTTCTCAGGTTGGGATCCCTGTAGTACACCAATGAGATTTTACAAATTATAGTAACACTTAGAAATTAGGTTTCACTTGTTTGTAGGCAAATTAGGAAAAAGAGGAAACCCGCATAATTGCTATGACTTCCTGCAGACTTAGACAGAATTGTTGCACATTGCACTGCTGTTGTCAGCCACTGTATACAATTGTAGAGCTGGTTCAGCACATTTGTTTATGTTTGGACTCCGCTGTTCTTACAGTAGAATGTTGTACCGTGTTAGCCATGGGTAGAAGTAGGAAAGTAAAAATGTACGCAATGCCTTTCTTGTTGCTCACTAAATATATTTTAAAGTGCAAGCCACAGAAAACACTTAGGGCTTGATTTTATAAAACCTCCACCCAGCCATATACTGGGCTAATGCAGGTCGCATGGCATTCCCGCCACTAGATAGAGCCAAAGAAAATAGGAAATGTCTATGCTCCTTGGCTCCATCTAGTGGCGGGAATGCTGTGCCAATTCCCAGGCCAAAGGGGTTCTTATCTTTCCCTACTGTATGTAAAACTAAAAAAAAATTGTGGCTGAACAAACCCTTAAAAAAAATTTAACAAATGGGCAACAATAGTAATCATGATCTCCACTAAACTATTACAATTGTGCAGCTCTTTGGTCTCATAGTATTTGAGGTTGAATAAAGACATTAGTCCATCAAGTCCAACCTATTAGGATCTCATTCTAGGAGTACCTGTACCCCTGTATACTACCCGTACCACTGTATATTACCCGTACCACTGTATATTACCCGTACCCCTGTATATTACCCGTACCCCTGTATATTACCCGTACCCCTGTATATTGCGGTCCCTTAAGAAATCGTCCAAAAGTTTCTTGAACAATTCCACATTATTTGCTGAAATCACCGCCTGTGGCAGTGAGTTCCAGAATCCGTCAACCACTGGGGTATATTTTGAGTTAAACTGGGAGTTTTATCATGTGTGTCAAACCCGTTTCCCTCCCGAGTGTATACTGAGGAGAAAAAAGCGTTCAGCGCCTCGGCCCTCTCCTTGTTGTTTGTGACTAGCTTCCCGCTTTCATCCTTTATTGGGCCTATCTGCTCCTTTCTCACCTTTTTACTGTTAATATATTGGTAGAATTTTTTGGGATTCTTTTTACTATCTGCGGCGATATGCTTTTTGCACTCAGTTTTAGCTGTCTCCTTGTATTCTATAAGCCTCCACAAAGGTCATTTATGGCCTCATGCACACAGATATATGATTTTACGAAGGATCTTACTTGCAGCAAGAATCTACCTGTACACTGTATGCATGTAATGTTTGTACTAACGTTTACATTTGTACAGCATACATTGCAAATGTACCCTACTGGCAGCTAAAGATCAACAATGTGTAATCAGTGGCGCCTCTGATTACCCACTATTGCCAGGCCCCTGTCATCTAGCCTCCTTAGTTGGTAGGACACGGGATGCTCCTGCCGCCTTGTATCCTTGGACTAGCTAGGATGTAGAGAACTCCAATAGATTACATTTACCTTCCATGGATGTAAACATTTGCAACGTCTTTGGACTAGCTAGGATGCAGGTGGCTCCAATAGAGTACATTTGCACTGCACATTGTAAGCATGTAAACTGTGGTGCAAACATTTATATGCATACACCTAAACCTTCTGAATGGCCTTCCATAATGCTTATGCCATTTTTTGTTTTTATATATATTTTTATGAGTACTCCTTCTCCTGCACCAGCACTGCTATCAGCACTGGGATTAGGTAGAAGATAAAAGAAACTCTCTGGGGATTAAAGCTGGCCATAAACGGGTCAAATGTTGTTGAAGAAGCTGGTCTTCATTTGACCTTTGTCAAATGGAGGGGTGCCTAATGGGCCACACCGTGGTCGAGTCAGCATGACCTTTGTTGAATGGAGGGGTGCCGACTGGGCCTCACCCTGGCTGAGTTAGCAGGACTCAGCTCAAATTAGACCAATGTATGGCCGGCTTAAAGCTAAACGCAGACTGGCAGATGTCTCTTCAAAAGTGTCTAACCTGGATCAATAACTGGCAGGTACCTATGGTGACATGATCTGCAATTGTTTCCTATGTGACTTGTTCAAAACACTAAAGGGGGACACTAACTTACAAAAACACTAGGGGGACATTAACTTACCAGTTGCTCACAGTTAAAAGGGTATGTAAACCCAATTTCTCTAATTTGGTCCCTTTGTGTCAAATTCCCATTGCAAGCTCTGTTTTATAAGTGCAAAAAATATCTGTTGATCCTGCCCGTATTCTTGTCAGTTGATAACCTCCTGTGCTCTTTGTCCGTGCTGTTTTCTTATCAGTTACAATGTTTCCAGCTATCTATGAGTACTATAGAACCCCCCATAATGTGGAGAAGAGGGGTAGGTGTTTGTAGTCCTGTCCTATGGTGACAACACTGCTTCTCCATAGATATAGTAGGGAGTCACTCTAAGACACTATGTGTTACTGGCAGGATTACCAGATAAAAATTAGAAAAAAAGCCTGAGAAAAAGAAAACTAATGCAGTCACGTCACCTATGGACTGGTAAGCTGCAATATATTATAATTTTTTTTCTTGGATTTAGATATGCTTTAACAGTCATTCTTCAAAGACTTGCAAGGTAGGCACAGGAACATCAGTCAATCAAGATTTCACTATGACATCAGGATGACTGTATCGGTATCTGAAAATCCCTTGAGGGCCCCCACCCAACTACAGTATCTGACAACAATGGGATCTATGTAGGAAATCACTAAAATAATGGAGGGGAGGGCATTTTTTTTCTCATGTGCAAGAAGCTTCTCTTTAACACCCTATCAATTCCCTATACATTTACTTCACTCCCCACTTTTTGTCTCTGATCTGTGCCGAAACCCCTGACTAGCTAGTCCTGAATATCTCATGGTAGTATTTTTATGAAGGATCTTATGAAAGATCTCAGTTCTCCTCTGCATGCAGTGAAGGTGTGGAATAAGAGGCATTTTGCAGTATGTTGGCGTTTTGGTCAGTTAAGAGCATGAGTGTGTGGGAGGAAGATAAGATTTCAACTTGCAGCTGATTTTTGCTTTTAGAAGAACTCTTGGTGAATTTTTTTTTACACTTCCACCACGATGTGTTTGTAACATGGTGTATCTCCACTAACCATGATCAAAAAGGTTATCTCGTATTTTTTTAACTAACATTTAAAACAAAGTTAAATATTATTTTAAAGACGGTTCTCATAGAGCCGCATTTCTCAACCTACTTTAGAAAGTATGACAAATCATTAGGCACCCCAGTCTAAAATGTAAAAAAGGTAAATGTAAAAGAACATTTGGTCCCCATTTAAGGGGGGTCCCCAGGCAAAAAAAGTTTCCCCCTTTATATTAGAGTGCCCCCTTTCACATCAAAAGCCCCTTCACATTAGGGCTTTCCCTTTCACATCAGAGTCTCATCTTCACATAACAAGCCAACCCTTATATCAAAAGCCCCCTTTACCACAGAGTTCCCTCTTTGGCAAGAAATTGAAGGCACCCCTGACAAAGCCAATACACACCCTGGCTGAGAAAGGCTGCCTTAGAGTATATGTAATCAGGGCCGGATTTCCCACAAGGATCCTGGCCTTGGGGCAGCAGAGAGAGTAAATCCATCCATGTACGTAAGCCCAATACCTAATAGCTTATATAAGTATTAACATATCAGAGCCCATTCACACCAGATCTGTTGGGCTGTGCTGATGCCTTCCCTGATGCATTAACAAGCCTACTTTGTCTGTCTCTGTCCAGCCCGTGGTCCAGACACGGACCGATCGCCAGCCTGGGCTCCTTTATGGCTGTCTGACAGAGGATGTACCAGCCTCTAAGGACAACTGATAAAAATATCTATGACCTCAATAACGAAAATACTGCTTAGAAATCCATCCAGTTTCACAGCAGACAGTCTGGTGAATTAGAACGCTGTAAGTATTCTCTATGTGTACTGTCCCTGTTACAGAGGAATTGAACTCTAGAAGCTGTGCCCAAAAAGTCATGCAGAGGGTAAATGACTAGTCACCAGGCTTGCCTGTGCTTTCCCTGCAGCTGATCTTTTCCCATTACCGACTTAACATGTCTTGTTCTGCACTGTGTCTCTGTGTGCAGGTGGCCATCTTGGTAGAGGCAGGGATGTGCTTCCTCATGTCAGAGCCTCCAGCAAGAAGAACATTGAGCAGCACAGTAGTGACATCATCAAGTCTCATTTCAAATCTCCAGAGATCCATCTCATGCAGCAGTTATAAAGATATAAAGCTATAGTCACAGGAGTGCCTAGGAACATTAACATACCAGGAAGTGCTCTGCTATTTTTCAGGAGGAATTCTAGATAAAAGGTACATTTCCAGGTAATTGTTTAGGCTCAATTGAGGCTGAACACCAGTACAAAATGTTTTGGGGCTACAGCATACACCCAATTTACCTCTGATCACTCCATTCACCCTCACCTTCCTGTCCCCTCAACCATATACAAAATTCCTAGTATATTTTCCCAGAATGCACAATGTTTTGTGAATGGACAAAGGACGGGTGAATGACAGGATCACCCTTGTCCATTCATGTCATTCAGTACACCTTGTGGTCTGGTAAAATTCTAAAAGGAGTTTCTAAAAGGAGTAGGACATAGGAGTTTCCTCATGAGAGGAGACTTATATGACTGGTGCTGTAACCCCAAAACATATATTTTTTTACTGTTTTTACTTAAAGAAGAACCCTGGGGGAAAAATTCTTAACCCTCGCAGTGGGGCTATCTCCTCACTGTAAGGGTTAGGTGCTCCTTTTTGTTTAGGTTAAAAAAAATAAAAATATACTCACCTGATCTTTGGAGCCGGCTGGCTCTTAGACTGTCCCCTTCCACCTCGCTCCCACTCCACTGCAGAGGTCTAAGGTCTCTGAGTCATCATCTTCTATATAGAGTGTATAGGGCGTGAGGACCCTGAGGGACATCCCATCGCTGCAGAGGAGGAGACAGGCAGAAGGAAGAGCTGTCACTGCCACCCAGATCCGAAGTTTGGATGATTATATATACTTATTTTTGAACCTAGACAAAAAGGAGCACTTAACCCTTGCAGTGCGAGGATGTAGTTCTTCTTTAAAGATCCGGTTTAACATTTCTAAATTTTGTGCTACGACTTAGCAAATCCTTATTTTTTCAATTTGGTTCTCGTTTTTATACATGATCAGACTTTCTTCTGAAAGTAAATAAAATGGTAAAAGTACCAGGTTTGCTCCGGGAAGAATGCTAAAAACATATCTTTGGTTCATGGTATAAAACATTCTCACCATCGGAAGTGTTGCTGTAAGGACAAAATCTGTAGAGAGATGAGACTGGTACACTTAATACTCATAAATACTTTTAGAAGATTCCACAATAAAGGGTAACGTGTGTTCTGTTGGGACAGTAATAAATCTATTCTTGGCGTTTTGGAGGTGGCCGCTATGATGCATCTATGGAGGGGGCCGATATGATGCATCTATGGAGGGGGCCGATATGATGCACCTATGGAGGGAGGCACCTATGGACTGGGCCGATATGATGCACCTATGGAGGGGGCCGATATGATGCACCTATGGAGGGGGCCGATATGATGCATCTATGGAGGGGGCCGATATGATGTATCTATTATGTCTATTTTAGGGGACAAATACATTACAAATGTGTGCAATTTTGTAGATTTTCCTAGATTTTTAACACTGGATATTTTGTTATACATTTGCATTCAAATATGATCTGTGAAAAGTGGAGGAAAAAACAGGTTATTATCATCAATTCAGTTTCTAGTGTGGAAGAGAAAGCACCAAGCTGGTAGGCATGAGTAAGGATTTGGCTGCAAAATGACCCATCCCACCATTTACAAAGTGAAACTCTCAATTGAGCTACTTAGGCAAAATGTAATTGTAAAAAACAATCTTCTGTTCTTTTCTTTCCTTATTATGTATGTTTTTGTTTTTAGAGGGCATTTGGGGGGGGG